GTGCCTGTCTGCTGCATGGGAAGATGTGTGGCTGTTGTCTCTGCATCTCACAGCTGATGGCAACTACTGCATCTTCTGTTTGTTCTCTTCTTCAGTGCTTATGGGAACTGGTTCCCTGGGAGCAAACCTCTGATCCAGCAGGCCATGGCCAAAATCATGAAAGCAAATCCTGCGCTCTACGTGTTGAGAGAACGGATCCGCAAGGGGCTGCAGCTGTACTCATCCGAGCCCACAGAGCCGTACCTCTCCTCCCAGAACTATGGAGAGCTCTTCTCCAACCAGATAATCTGGTTTGTGGATGACACCAATGTGTACAGAGTGACCATCCACAAGGTGACGCCAGAGGAGGATCGTGGGGGGGAAAGGACAGGGACTGTCAATGTCCTGTGCTCAGGGTGGTTGTGGAGGCTTTATCTCCCTCTACTTCTGACTTTTGTTTGCTTTCTCAGACTTTTGAAGGGAATTTGACCACAAAACCCATCAATGGAGCCATTTTCATCTTCAATCCCAGAACTGGACAGCTCTTCCTGAAGATCATCCATACCTCTGTGTGGGCAGGGCAGAAACGTCTGGGACAGGTAGGGCCTGGCTGCTGCTGTGCTTTGGGCTGGGGGCTGGGGATGGGCTCTGACTGCTTGAGACACTCACTTGAGCAGAAAGCAGCATGAGAATCTTCACCTTCCTGCCTCTTAACAAGTGTGGAGCTGCAGTGTCTGGTGTCTCACGTGTTCTCAGGGAAGTGCTAGCATGGGATATAAAAGTAAAGGAAAGCAGGCATTGATGTTGCAAGGCTTTTGAGGCTCTGAGGTGGAAAGAGCTGACATCTTCAAGCAGGGCTTGAGAAACAGGGCTGTGCTCAGCGTTACAGCAAATCACATTGCACTTGGCTGTACATCCAGTGCAGTGAGAAGACTCTCAGGTGGCAGAGCCAGGGAGGTGGTGTAGGCAGCTGGTTTTTCTGAGCCAGTCAGGGGTAACTGAGCTCCAGGAACAGGAACTCTGAGACCAGTAAGAAGGAAATGCTGGGCCTTGACACTGATCTGGAACAAGCCATACATTCCAGGTGTATTTATAGAATTTGGCTTGAGTCTCTCTCATTCCCATGGAGACACTGCTGTTAGCAGAGAGAGGTCTCTAACCCTGCTGTCTTCCTGTAGCTGGCCAAGTGGAAGACTGCTGAAGAAGTGGCTGCCTTGATTCGATCGCTGCCTGTGGAGGAGCAGCCTAAGCAGATCATAGTGACACGGAAGGGCATGCTGGACCCACTTGAGGTAAGAATGCAGAAGACAGGTGACAAGACAGTCCTGTGAAGGACTTGATCTGGACCAGTGTTCTGTGGTAGTTGTGAGCTAATTCCTCCTCTTCATAAACCCCAGGTGCACTTGCTGGATTTCCCCAACATCGTGATCAAAGGCTCGGAGCTGCAGCTGCCCTTCCAGGCCTGTCTGAAGGTGGAAAAGTTTGGGGATCTCATCCTGAAGGCTACTGAACCCCAGATGGTTCTCTTCAATCTCTATGATGACTGGCTGAAAACCATCTCTTCCTACACGGTGAGCACAGCGTGCCTAGGCTGCATTTTGCTTTGCCTCTGCTGCATGAGGCAGGAGCCAAGGCTTCAGAGATCCCTCACGATTTGCTGCTTGGGAGCACTTAATCTCTGAGTCTGCCTGGGTTTTCCTTCAGATTGAGTCCATTGGCACTTCCCATGCAGTGCCCACATGCCCACAGTGCTGGACAAGGGCCTTGTGTATTTGTTTTCCTTGTTCTAACTGCATCTCTCTTTCTCCTCCAAGGCATTCTCTCGTCTGATTCTGATTCTCCGAGCGCTTCACGTGAATAACGATCGAGCCAAAGTCATTCTGAAACCAGACAAGACAACCATAACGGAGCCTCACCACATCTGGCCAACCCTGACAGATGAGGAGTGGATCAAGGTGGAGGTGCAGCTGAAGGATCTCATCCTTGCTGACTATGGCAAGAAGAACAAGTAAGTTAATGTCCAGCTGCAAGGGTCCTGTCAGCTTTTCCTTCCTGCTCTAAAGGCTGTGAACACGGTGCTGCTTGTGGAGAGTAGAAGACTTACAAGGGCCTTTTGCAGTGAACTGTCAGCTTTGTAGGGAAACTGGTTATCATTACAGAATCATAGAATGGTTTGGGTTGGAAAGGACCTTATGATCATGCAGTTCCAACCCCCTGCCATGGGCAGGGATGCCTCACCTAGACCATGTCACCCAAGGCTCTGTCCAGCCTGGCCTTGAACACTGCCAGGGATGGAGCATTCACAAGTTCTTTGGGCAACCTGTGCCAGTGCCTCATCACTCACAGTAAAGAACTTCTTCCTTATATCCAGTCTGAACTTCCCCATGTCAAGTTAGAACCCATCGCCCCTTGTCCTATCGCTGCAGTCCCTGATGAAGAGTTACTGTTTATTGCCTTCTACTAAGGCAGATGAAAGTGTCTGCACCAAAGCTTTCTGATCCGTGCATCCTGTGATTTCCTCCCTCATGCCTATAAAGCTGTGGTCTCATTTTTCACAGTGCCCCAAGTGGATTTTCTGAGCTTGTGCTCGAGTGCCAGGGGTCCACAGTGTGCTCAGAAACACCTGACTTTTGGGTATTCTTCCTCTTCCAGCGTGAACGTCGCATCCCTGACGCAGTCAGAGATCCGAGACATCATCCTGGGCATGGAGATCTCTGCCCCCTCGCAGCAGAGGCAGCAGATAGCTGAAATTGAGAAGCAAACCAAGGAGCAGTCACAGCTCACAGCTACCCAGACCCGCACGGTGAACAAACACGGGGATGAAATCATCACCTCCACCACCAGCAACTACGAGACCCAGACGTTCTCCTCCAAGACCGAGTGGCGGGTCAGGTAGGCGAGCAGGCAGGGCTGTTGGGTGGTGCTGGGGAAGGGATCTGTGCACCCTTTAATCCTCATCCCTCCTCTTCACAGAGCCATTTCTGCTGCCAACCTCCACCTGCGAACAAACCACATCTATGTTTCATCAGATGATATCAAGGAAACGGGCTACACGTACATCCTGCCCAAGAACGTGTTGAAGAAGTTCATCTGCATCTCTGACCTGCGGGCCCAGGTGGGCGTGCAGGGAGTCTGTGACAGCTGTACCACACTCTCCTGGGGCACACACCAGTCCTGGGCAGTCAGGATGTACTGGGGAGACAGGCACTGGTAATGCAGCTGAGCACACAAGTTCTAGATGGGGCTGGATGGTTCCTTGTGGCCCCGACTTGAGGGGAAGCTCAGCATGTAACCAAACCAAGATGCTCTCCTCTAGTGAGAGCCTGTGGGCTGAGAGATCAGCTCCTGAGGAGCTGAGGGCTCTCACACGGTTACACAGAGGTCTCATGTAGGCTTCTAAGGCAGGTGTCTGTTCCTAGATTGCAGGTTACCTGTATGGAGTGAGCCCTCCTGATAACCCCCAGGTGAAGGAGATCCGGTGCATTGTGATGGTGCCCCAGTGGGGCACACACCAGACTGTGCACCTCCCAGGGCAGCTGCCACAGCATGAGTATCTCAAGGTGAGTTGGGCTGTTGGAGATGAGGGACTTGGAGATGCCAGCCTCATCTGGGGGCAGGCAAAGGGAAGCCTTTGCTCCCTGTGTGCTTGTTGGCCTGGTTTTAAATGCCTTTTATTCCTCTCTCAAACTCCTTTTGGTCAGGAAATGGAACCTCTGGGGTGGATTCACACCCAACCAAACGAGTCCCCTCAGCTCTCGCCGCAGGATGTCACCACCCATGCCAAGGTCATGGCTGACAACCCCTCCTGGGATGGGGAGAAGACCATCATCATCACCTGCAGGTGAGAGGCAGGAGGCTTCTTGTGCCCTCTCTGCCAAGCTGCAGTGCTTGGGAGCATGCTGAGGTCTCAGTATGTGGCAGAAAGGCAGTGTTGGCTCATTCCTGGTTTCCCTGTTCTGCCTTGGATCAGTCTGACTTCCCACATCTCTTCTTCCTTCCAGTTTTACACCAGGCTCCTGCACGCTGACAGCCTACAAACTGACCCCGAGTGGCTATGAGTGGGGCAGGCAGAACACGGACAAGGGGAACAACCCCAAGGGCTACCTCCCATCCCATTACGAGCGGGTGCAGATGCTGCTCTCTGATCGCTTCCTTGGCTTCTTCATGGTCCCAGCACAAGGGTCCTGGAACTACAACTTCATGGGTGAGCTGCCCTGCTGGCAGAGGGGCAGGAGGGGGAGGCAGTGGGGATAGCTTGGGGCCCCCAAAACAAGAGGGATGTGGAGCTGTTGGAGCGAGGCCATGGGGATGCTGCGAGGGCTGGAGCAGGGTCAGCCTGGAGAAGAGAAGGCTCCTGAAGGGGAGACCTGAGAGCAGCTCCAGTGCCTGAAGGGGCTGCAGGAAACCTGGAGAGGGGCTTGGGACAAAGGATGTAGGGACAGGCCAAGGGGAATGGCTTTAACCTGCCAGAGGGGAGACTGAGCTGAGCTCTTAGGCAGAAGCTCTTCCCTGGGGCGGGGGGTTGGAACCCAAGCCAGTCTGTGATGCTATGAGAAGGAAATAGCTCTTCAGCAGCGTGTTCTTTACACATCCTTTAAGCATGATCTGCTTTAAAGCTTGTCATGTGCGGGTCGAGGGCAGGAGCCCTTCAGGTGGGTGATGTTCTCTCTCTCTCTCCCTGCCAGGTGTGCGCCACGACCCCAACATGAAGTACGAGCTGCAGCTCGCCAACCCCAAGGAGTTCTACCACGAGGTCCATCGCCCTTCCCACTTCCTCAACTTCGCCCTGCTGCAGGAAGGGGAGGTCTACTCCGCCGACAGGGAGGACCTCTACGCCTAGTGCTGCCCTCGCCCCGGCTCCTCGTACTGTTGATATTCAACAGCGTGTGTGTTCTGCGTCCCCGTGCCCGCACAGCCCCTGCCCCTTTCCCCCTCCTCCTCCTCCTCCTTGTGCCCCTTCCGTGTCTCAATAAATTTTGTACGAACGGGATCGCTACCGGTGAACCCCGCCTCGGACGGGGCGGGACAAGGGAGGAAGGAGGAGCGAGAGCGGGGCCCAGGCCGGCGATGGCGGAGGCGCTGTGGAGGACCCCGCCGGGCCGCCTGGCCCCGCCGCACGTTTACCGCATGGCCGGGGCGCTGGGGGCCGAGCTGCGCCGCCTCTCCGCCCGCTTCGGACCCGAGGCCGTGGCCGGGCTGGTGCCGCCCGTCGTGAGGCTGCTGGAGCTGCTGGAGGCGCTGGTGGCCCCCGACGGGGAGGCGGTGGGGCCGGCGGGCGGGCGGCAGGAAGCGGAGGTGAGCGGCGGATAAGGGCTCGGTCCCTTCGGGGGTCCCCTCTGCCGTGGGGCAGGAGGCGCCGTGGGGACTTGGCTGTTCTCGTCCCTATGGAGTGGCTCTGAGCCGGTTGTCCCTGTCCCCTGGGATGGCTCTGACCCAGCTGTCCCTTGTACCCATGGGGGTGGCTCTGACCTGGCTGTGCCTTGGGACAGTTCTTACCCGGCTGTCCCTGCCCCAGTGGGATGGCTCTGGCCTGGCTGTCCCCATCCCCTGGGGTTCCTCTGACCCAGCTGTCCCCATTTCCCACGGGATGGCTCTGACCTGGCTGTCCCTATCCCCTATGGGATGGCTCTGATCTGGCTTTCCCTGTCCCTTGGGGCAGCTCTGACCTGGTTGGCCCTGTCCCCTATGGGATGGCTCTGACCTGGCTGTCCCCATCCCCTATGGGATGGCTCTGACCTGCCTGTCCTCATCCCCTATGGGATGGCTCTGACCTGCCTGTCCCCATCCCCTATGGGATGGCTCTTACTGTGTGTCCCCATCCCCTATGGGATGGCTCTGATCTGCCTGTCCCTATCCCCTATGGGATGGCTCTGACCTGCCTGTCCCCATCCCCTATGGGATGGCTCTGACCTGCCTGTCCCCATCCCCTATGGGATGGCTCTTACTGTGTGTCCCCATCCCCTATGGGATGGCTCTGACCTGCCTGTCTCCATCCCCTATGGGATGGCTCTGACCTGCCTGTCGCCATCCCCTATGGGATGGCTCTGATCTGCCTGTCCCTATCCCCTATGGGATGGCTCTTACTGTATGTCCCTATCCCCTATGGGATGGCTCTGACCTGCCTGTCCCTATCCCCTATGGGATGGCTCTTACTCCCTGTCCCTATCCCCTATGGGATGGCTCTGATCTGCCTGTCCCCATCCCCTATGGGATGGCTCTGATCTGCCTGTCCCTATCCCCTATGGGATGGCTCTGATCTGCCTGTCCCTATCCCCTATGGGATGGCTCTGACCTGCCTGTCCCCATCCCCTATGGGATGGCTCTGACCTGCCTGTCCCTATCCCCTATGGGATGGCTCTGACCTGCCTGTCCCTATCCCCTATGGGATGGCTCTGATCTGCCTGTCCCTATCCCCTATGGGATGGCTCTTACTGTGTGTCCCCATCCCCTATGGGATGGCTCTGACCTGCCTGTCCCTATCCCCTATGGGATGGCTCTTACTCCCTGTCCCCATCCCCAGGACCCGGAGCAGCGGCTGTGGGAGGCCGAGCGCCGGGAGCGTTCCCTGCGTGCGCGCCTGTCCCGCCTGGAGGAGCAGAACCGGCAGCTCCTGGGGCAGCTTGCGGAGAGCCAGTCCCAGGAAGGTGGGTGTCCGGGGTGGGGGTGTGCTGGGGAGGCCGTGGGTACCAGGGCTGCTGAGCCCCGTCCCTGTGTGTCTGTGCCCAGATAACGTGGCACGGAAGGAGCGGGAGGTGATGCTGCGGCTCAAGGAGGTGGTGGACAAGCAGCGGGATGAGCTCCGTGCCCAGGCCCACGAGATCGTCTGCAAGAGCCGAGACACGGAGGCGGTGAGCGGATGGGGTGCGAAGGGTCTGGGCCCCCCCCCCCCCTTCTCGTGTCACCTCCCCATCGGTGCTGGTGTCCCTTGTTGGGGACCCGGAGCTGCTGCCGTCGCCTCACCTCTGCGCTCCCCGGGCCCTCCAGCTGCAGGAGCAACTGCACCGCTTCATGGCCATGAACGAGGAGCTGCGGCACAAGGTGGCTGTGGTGCAGGCGCAGCTCAGGAGCGCGCTGGAGAAGAAGTCGGACCTGGAGGCTGCGGTGCTGCAGAGCCAGAGGGAAGCGAGCAGGAGGAGCAGGAGCACCTCCGAGATCCAGCAGCCGAAGCCCAGCCTGGTGAGGGCAAGCCTGAGCTGACGGCAGGAAAAGCCAAGCGGGTCTTAGAGGATGAGGAGGGTTTGCTGTGTGTGGCGGTGGGCAGTGGGCTCCGGCGCCTTCATTCCCTAGACATTCCCATCTCTGCCAGCCATAGGGGGGGCACTTTGGGGTCCTTGCCTCCTGCTGACCCGTTTCCCATCCCTCCAGGAGGAAGCTCCATCCGCCACAGAGGAGCCGCAGCACGAGGATGCGGGCAGGAGCCCTGCTCACTGCTGCTTCTCCAAGGAGGAGCTGCAGCAGATCCTGCAGGAGCGGAACGAGCTCAAGACCAACCTGTTCTTGGTGCAGGAGGAGCTGGCTTATTACCAGCGGTGAGTCCGGTTCCCCCTGGTGCCTGCAGCCCATGGCCCATCAGAGCCTGCTCCCGGTGCACTCAGGGTGCCCAGCTCTCCCTTCACTTGGCTGCCTCTTTCCAGGGAGCTGCTGAACGAGGAGAGGGTTCCCAGCTTCTTCTTGGATGCGATGAAGTCAACCATCAAAAGGCAGAGGAAGAAAATCAGAGCCAAAATGCTGGGAACAACGGAGGAGGCGGAGAGCAGGTGAGTCCAGTCCTGCTCCATCCACCCTGCAAGGGAATTCCCCAGGCACGGAGCTGCCTCCTCCCTGCTTCCACCTGGAAGATCAAAGGTTTAACGTCTGCAGCTGATGCCTTGCTCTGGCTTCACCCTGGGAGCGTGGCAGGGGCTGGGCTCCTTGCTGCACCTCTTGTCCCCAGTCACACGTGGTCCATCCAAATGCCTCCCATCCATGGATATGGCAAAAGGGAGGTGAGGTGGTGGCCGTGGGACTGCTGCTCCTGGCACTGATTTGGAGGCTGTTCGATGAGAGCCATTGAGGATGGCAGCAGAGATGTTGCCTGGAGGCTCTGCAGGACGTTATGGGCACCGCTGGCCCCACCAGACTTGTCACGATGGGGAGGGCAGCACCTTGCTGGGCACCAGCCCCAGCTCTGCCTGTGTGCTGGCAATGGGGGGGGTGTGAAGCCTGTGCTAAAGCTGCTGTATGGCACGGGGGGAGCTGGGTCTCACTGCCTTTTGGGGGCTTTAATAAAGGTCTGGAGGGGGCTGAGCTCTTCTGTGCTGCTGAAGCCTGCTGCTTGCTTGTGTCGGGGTCTCTGCTGGCCGCAGGGGTGTTGGGCCTGGTGAAGGTGGCTGCTGCCCTATGGATGCTGCATCTCATGATCCCTGCTTCCCTGCAAGGCCAGGATGTCACCCACCTCAGTCCCATAGTGCTGATGGTTGGGCTCTTCCCCCAGAGAAGCATTTGCCACGTGGGGTTTGATGCTCAGAGGCTTTAGAGCAGGATGTGGCAACCAGGGACACATCATTGAGCCAGCACTGGGGGTTGAAACTGGTGTCTGAAGAGCCTTGAGATCACGCAGGCAGGGCTGGGCTTGCCATGGAACACCTATGTGGGACGTGAGCAGCACCGTGGCTCTGCAGCAGGTCCCAGCTCTGCTCCACGTGTCCCTGGCTCTGCTTGGCTTGGGGGTGCCTCCTCCCGTGCCGAGCCTGTAACTCCCTTTGTGCTGCAGCGATGAAGATGAGGGCTCCTGGCTCCCAGCCCGCGGCGCAGACTCTGTGGATGCTCATCCTCATCCTCCCGAATCCAGAATTAGGAGCTTGTAAGTTTGCTGGGAAAGCCGATGGGGAGGTTGGGATCCCATCGCATTCCCTGGGAAGACGTCTCCCCCCACGGCTGTTATCTGCTCTCCCTGCAGCTTCGGGCTCTGGTATCAGGACAGCAGCAAAGATCCCCCCCCATCCAGCAGCCCCGTAGCCTGGGAAGTCATCGACTCCCTGGACACGCAGCTGGAGCCGGAGAGCGATCCCACAGCCAGCTCCCCCCACAGAGCCACAGCACCCCCCTGATCCCATGGGACCGGCCTCACTGCAGCACTTCCTGGTGGCACAGCCGCACTGCCTGCTTCCCCACGGCATGGGGATGGGGATACTGGGACACTTGGCCGTGGGTTTCCAGCCTGGATCAGCACCTCCATCGGCCACCCTTCCACTGTGCTCATGGCTTAACCTCTGGGGGTCTCCACTTCTCTGTGCCTGCAGCTCAGCACCACCGGGGTCTGCACCCGCTTCCCATCCACTCGTGCCTCTTGCCATCAAACACCTCTCCCAGATCCTGCCTCGTTTCGTTGGGGTTCATCCCTGCAATGTGAAGGTGGAGTTGGGGTATCCGGCATCACCACACTGCACCGGGTGCACGGATGCTCCCGGAGCTGGGAACGGCCGGGATCAGCACCATCAGTGCCACTCTGTACCATTTTGTACCGGGACCTCTTCCTGCTGTTGTTGGGAACTGGAAGACAGGAGCAATCCTCATGTTCACAGGGAAGCATCCGTCCCCTCAGGTGCTTTCACTTTAGAACTGGAGTTGGAAATAAATCAGTCCCGTTTCTCCTCCGAGGTACCCCTGCTTGGGATGATGCTGCTGGGATTCCATCACTTCCCATGCACAGGCTGACCCTTTCAGTGGGTCGGCTCCAATGGGAACGTGGCTCCATGGGCGCAGTGCTGGCTATGGAGGAGTTAAGTGTGAGGAGCAGCTTGCAGCCCGGGTTATCCCCCCTGGCTGAGCTGGCCTTGGGTAGGAAAAAGGTGTTTCCTGTGCATCTGCTGACACAAAGCTCCTGGGGACGGGGAGAGGTGGGACAGGGGCCAGCAGCGGTTCAAAAGGAACACCGTGTCCCCATGGGGGACGTGGGGACCCCACTTAGCTCCTACCAGGGGTCAGCAGTGCCATAGGGCAGCTCACAGTGGTGGGGGCAAGGGGATGCAGCAGGGACCTCATGTGGGTTGGGGGGGGGGGTGGGTGGGCATTGGCTAAAGCAGCTTTGGGGGTGATGGAGGATGGCCCAAGGGGGAGCAGGACAACCACGGGGGCGATGTTCATGGAGCACCAAGCCCCCGGGCACCCGTTCCTGCTGCCGGGGTGGCACCAAGGGCCAGGAATAGCCCCTGCGGCGGCATTCCCGGCCTCCCGTCCCCTGACGTCGGGATCGCGGCGGCTCCTCCCGCGTTTCCTCAGGAAGAAACCCAAGGCTGGCGGGAGGAAGAGGCCGCAGCACGGGAGGGACGGACGGGACGGGACGGGACAGGCGGACGCCAGCACTGGGAGCTGCAGGGACTTGGGCCCTGGTGCCCTGGTGGGATGGGGAACGCGCGGCACCTCCTCTGCCTCCATCTGTGGCTGTGGGTGCAGAGCTCTGCGCAGGAGCTCGATCCCGACGGCAGGAACGTCTGCAGGTGGGTGCCATGGGGGTCCCTGCTTGTGCTCCTCCGTCTCATGGGGCCTCTTGGCAGCTCCATGGGGCCGTTGTCCATGCTCCGTGGACAGAGACCTGCTGCTTGGCACCGCGTGGATGCGTCGCGGTGATGCTGGGGAGCGCGGCTGTTGGTACCCGCGGATGTTCCTTAACCTCCTCCAGGGGTTATTTCTCGCACAGGGCATTGGGATGGGATTTGGGAGCACTGGCAAAACTTCCCCTCAAGTGCCAATGGGAAACATAGGCACAGCAAATCCCAAAGAGCTTTTGGAGCTGCTTTCCCCTCCGCTTTGCTGCTGCCTCTCCCTTTGGTCTCGCCATCCATGGCAGCGCCTTTCATCACCATCACTTTAATGCCTTCCTTCTGTGTTGCTGGTGAAGCTTTGGGCTGCTCCCAGAGCATCAGGGACCCGATACGGGCTCCACAGTGGCAGATCCGTGCTGCCTGCCCCATTGCCTGCCCCATTACCTGCCCCACCGCCCACCCGGGCTGCAGCCTCTTGAATTTCCTTCTATTTTACTGGTTTCCTTCCGGAGCAAAGCCCCCGGGGCTGCGCTGCCTCTGCCTGCCAGACCCAGCCAGGGTGTTTGCTGTGCCTTAAGCAATGCTCTGAACCCACCCTGGTACCCTCATCCCTGTGGATGCTCCACTGTGGCTCTCTCCTCAGGCTCCCCACCGGCCCCGCGTGCTGTCCCGGCTGGAAGCAGGAAGGGCAGGAATGCACGGCCGGTGAGTGATGGAGCCCCACAGCTCTCTTTGAGTGGGGTGTTGTGTTGTAGGGACCCCAAATGCCCGCTGAGTGAGCTTGCTGATGGTGTGGCTTGGATGGAGCGGGAAGCGGGACGGTGGATTCCCCATGATGCCCCAGTGTGATGCGGTCCAGCAGTGGGGTGCAAGCACAGGGGACCCCATCCTGCCCTGATGTGATGCTTGCCCTGTCACCAACAGCACTGTGCGAGGGCGAAGATGCCTGCGGGGCGGATGAGGTGTGTGTGAGACCTGGGCTTTGCCTCTGCAAACCCGGCTTCTTCGGAGCAGACTGCAGCTCCCGTGAGTACATCCCATGGGCTCCCCCATCCACTTCACCATCCTTGGGGGGGGGGGGAGCTGCCAAGCTTCCCTATGGCCCCCATCATCCTCACCACCTCCTTCCCTCCGCAGCCTGCCCCGAGCAGTACTGGGGCCCCGACTGCAAGCGGAGCTGCCCGTGTCACCCCAACGGGCGCTGCGATGCGGCGAGCGGGCGCTGTACCTGCCGCCCCAACCACTGGGGTGCCCTGTGCCAGTTCTCCTGCCAATGCGGTCCCCATGGGCACTGCGACCCCCTCACCGGCGCCTGCCGCTGCGAGCCGGGCTGGTGGGCGCCCACCTGCAAGAAGCAATGCCAATGCAACCCCTCCAGCTCCCAGTGCGACCCCGTGAGCGGGCACTGCCGCTGCCTGCCCGGCTGGTGGGGCAGGAGGTGCAGCTTCAAGTGCTCCTGCAACCTCTCGCCCTGCGCCCAGGAGACGGGCAAGTGTGAATGCAAGGTTGGGTTCTGGGGGCCCGCCTGCCAGCGGCGCTGCGACTGCATCCACGGCTCCTGCAGCCCCGTCAGCGGGCACTGCAGCTGCAGCCCCGGCTACCAAGGCAGGAGCTGCAGGGAGCCGTGTCCGCCCGGGCAGTATGGGTCTCAGTGCATGCACAGGTGAGATGGGGGCAATGGGAGGGTGTGGGAGGAACCAGGGGGTGCAATAAGACCTTGGGGGGGGGGAATCATCATGGTTGTGTCTGTCTCTTTGGCTGGGGACCATCCTAGGGAGGTTTGAGCATCCCTGGTTGGATGCAGCATCCCTGCTGTCCCAAGAGAAACACAGAGGCATGGAATGGTTTGGGTTGGAAGGGACCTTAAAGCTCCTCCAGCTCCAACCCCTGCCACGGGCAGGGACACCTTCCACTAGAGCAGCTTGCTCCAAGCCCCTGTGTCCAACCTGGCCTTGAACACTGCCAGGGATGGGGCAGCCGCAGCTTCTCTGGGCACCCTGTGCCAGCGCCTCAGCACCCTCACAGGGAAGAGCTTCTGCCTAAGAGTTCAGCTCAGTCTCCCCTCTGGCAGGTTAAAGCCATTCCCCTTGGCCTGTCCCTACATCCCTTGTCCAAAGCCCCTCTCCAGGTTTCTTCCATCTTTAAGTACTGGAAGGCTGCTGATGGCGGCAGAAAGCACTGGTGTCATCCTAAAACCTGGTTGTCCTTGTTCCCATTCCTTGGCGTGATAAAGCAGCATCTCTGCTTCCCTCTTGCCACCACAGAGCATTAAGCCCCCATGGCCCCACCTGATGCTCGGTGCTGTTTCGGGGTGAAACCTGCGTTTGTGGGGGTTCCGTGGTGCGTGTCCGTGCCTCAGTGCCCCTGTGCCCGTGCAGCTGCGGGCGCTGCGAGCTCGGCCGGCCCTGCTCTCCCGTGGACGGGCTCTGCCCCGCCTGCCAGCCCGGCTGGAACGGGACCCTCTGCCAGCACCGCTGCCCTCCGGGCTCGCACGGAGACCGCTGCCTCCTGCGCTGCCCCCGCTGCCGGCAGGGGGATGCCTGCGACCCGGAGACCGGCGCCTGCCCGCGCTGCGAGCCCGGCTGGACCGGACCCAGGTACGGCCGGGACCGAGCCGCCCCAAAGCCTCGGGTGCTGCGCTGCGGGATGCAGGGGGCTGATGCTTCCCTCTTTGTGTTGGCAGCTGCAACATCTCCTGCCCCGCGGGTACCTTCGGCGATGGATGCCGGCTCCTGTGCCCCGAGTGCGTCAGGGGGAGCTGCGATCCGGTGTCCGG